CACAGAGCCCAGTGTGGGACTTGAACCCATGAACTGTGAGATCATGACCTGGGCCAAAGTCAGACACTTAACCGACTGAGCCACCCAGGTGCCCCAAGCAACTATTGATCTTTTTACTGTATCTTTAGTTTTCTTTGGTCGAGAATGTCACATAATTGGAATTATATAGTACATCACCTTTTCAGATAGATGTATTTCTTTAGCAATACAAAATTAAAATTCCCATTCTTTTCATGGCCTGATAGCTTTTTCCTGGAGGGGCACTGAATATATTTCTTGTATCACTGTACAGCAGTTTGTTCACCTTGAAGGGCATCTTTGTGTCTTCTAAGTTTTGGCAATTATGGATTAAATTGCTATTAAACATTTATGCGCAGGTTTTATGTGGACATACTTTTTAATGTATTCTAGTAAACACTAAGGATCATATGATAATTATGTTTAGGTTTGCAGAAGACTGCCAAACTGTTTTCAGCGCGGCTGTATTGTTTTATATTTCCACCAGTAATGAATAAGGGTTTCGTTTGCAGCATATTTTCTCCAGCATTTGGTGTTACCAATGTTCTGGAGTTTGGCCATCCTAATAGATGTACAGAGATACATCATTGCTTTAATTTTCCATTCTCTCTTGATAGCTGATGTTGAATAATACCTCATATGCTTATTTTCCATTTGTGTAACTTCTTTGGTGAAGTATCTCTTAGATCTTTTGATCATTTTAAAATTGGGTTGTTTAGGGGCACCTGAATGGCTCAGTTGGATAAGCATCTGACTTTGGCTCAAGTCATGGTCTCCCAATTCGTGAGTTCGAGCCCCACGTTGGGCTCTGTGTTGACAGCTCAGAGCCTAGAGCCCATTTTGGACTCTGTGTCTCCCTCTCTTCCTACCCCTTCCCCAACTTGCACTTTCTTTCTCAAAAATAAATAAACATTTTAAAAATGGTTTGTTTGTTGGCTTATTGTTGAGTTTTAAGAGTCCTTTGTGTATTTTAGATACCAGTCTTTTACCAGATGTGAGTTATGCAGAGATTTCCTCCAGTGTGTGGCTTGTTCATTCTCCTAAGGGGTCTCAAAACAATAACAACATACAGCCTTATTGTGATATAATTCACATACCATACAGTTTATGCCACTAAAGTATATAGTTTTCTCCATACTTTGGTCATGCTAATATAACTATATCCACACAATACAAAAGTACGTGAAATTTATCTTGGTGTATGATTTTTATTTTGCTTTCAGTATTTATACTCATTATAAGAAATTAAACTCATAACTAAATAGATTAAATATATTTATATATATATAAATTAATAATCTGAAATGTCCGGATACATCTGTGTGTATTTGTGTAAGAGAGGCAGGGTAGAAAAGCTTATCTATCACAATACACCTTTCACTTTTTTTCATGTTTTGAAAGCACCATCTATTATAACACCTCTTGGACGTTTATATGCTAAAGTAGCCAGCCTAATTCACAGTAGGATTGATCTGCTTGATTCTGACATTCAAACAAAATGAAATTCTGAGATTCCGACATAAAAAGTACACACATTCAACTTTTATTTTGGTAGAGAGCTGAGCAAGCAAGGATTTCTACCAGTAATGCTGTTTCTTGTGTTGCTTTTTGAATGCATAGAATACTGCTGTGGTTTTCATGGGAAGTGCCTTAGCACAAGAATCTTTATTCTAAAGGTGCAAGAGTAAATTCATCTTGGTACAGTCTAAAACTTTAAACTCTAACTCATCCAGAGTTCAGGTAAGCCAAGCACATGGACACCATGTCCCTATTAACTAATCTGCCTTAAGTATATAAACTATCCTCAGATCTCTAGCATAGATTTTAGGTCAGTCCTCTAACTGGGTCCCTGCCTCTAAGAACATATATTGTGTTACTTTTCTTTTTGTTTCTAAAGAATATTAAAATATCTTCTTATATAAAGTGATATTTTGTTTAAAGAAGTTAGGTAAACAAGTTAGGGCCACTTTAAAATGCATAACTTTTTTTTTTAAAGAAGGCATCACTCTTTCAGTTTCAGTGAAATAACGGTAGTGGGAGTAAAGCCTCTACTTGGGTCAGTGCTAAGATGCCAGCATTGATTGAAGGACCCCCATGTCCTTGGAGAGCTCAGTATCTCAGCTCTTAGTCCAGAAGGGGAAGTCAATGAGGAAACTGCTAATTACAACAAAGTGTGATACATATCAGGATAGAAAAGAAAGAACAGAGTTCTGCATGTTCACAGACATGGGAAAAATGTAACAGGCATATTTATTATCCAGTATCACTGATACATATACCTCAAATAACAATCATACACAAAAAGAGGGAGAGATAATTTTCTTAGTGTTAAATTTAGGGAGATGTCTCTGTCTAGATATTTTTCATTGTGAACTTCTATGATGTGGGTTTGCGATGAAATAAATCTTGAACTCTAGGTATTAAGTTTGGAAACTTTTGATAAAGAGCAGTTTGGGTTGGCTGAAGCTTTTTCTACTTGAATATGAAATTTTATCCCTGGAAAGCTAGATCTGACCTTGGTTTAGACTTGAAGAGCTAGTGAATATATTTTGTGATGGGTTTATTCTAAGATCTATGTTTAAAGAGTTCTTCAAAGTGTTAGAAAGAGGTTCTCTGAAGAGCCATCTAGAATATCTTCTCTAGTACACCAATGCAGAAAAAGATGTAGAAACTCAGAATCCCTTTGCAAAAATATGTTTGTGTACTGGGAATGGTAGGCGGAATTCTAATATGGAACCCATGTTCTCCAATTGCTGGGTGTTATTCCTTGTAAATACTCTCCACTTGAGTGGATGTGAGATATGACTCACCTGTATAAGTAACATATGGCAAAGGTGATGGGCATGGGATGTCATCCCCATGATTTGGTTATACATGATTATCTGTCTATATATGAATTAGGTAGACTCTCCTGCTGGTTTTGAAGAAAAAGCTGCCCAGGGGCTGAAGTGCCCGGGGAAAGAGAGCAACATGGCAAGCTATTTTTTTTTTTTTTTTTATCCTACAATGTCAGGGAACTGAAATGTGCCAATAACCATGCGAGCTTGAAAGAGGAGTGCTCACTTGAGCTGTGTTGAGACTTCTGACACACAGAAACTGGGAAAGTTAATAGATATAATAAATTAGTAGAGTTAGAGAAATAACAAATGGTAAATGGTGTGGTTTTAAGCCTCTAATTTTGTGATGATTTTCATGTAACATAGAAAAACAATATACAGTAAAACCTTGGTTTGCGAGCATAATCCTTTCCAGAAACATGCTTGTATTCCAAAGCATTTGTATATCAAAGCGAATTTTAAGAACCATTGACTAAATTGTGATCATGTGACATTCGGTGTCTGGTTCTACTCGTATTGCAAGACATCGCTTGTTCATGAAGTTAAAATTTATTAGAAATATTTGTTTGTCTTGTGGAACACTGGCAGAAAAAAGGTTACTCTCAATCCAAGCTTTTATGTACTTACTAAGAATGTTTCTATGTATCTCAATCTCTCCCCAAACTACACTTGGTTAAAGGTGGTATAGAATTCCTTTGTATTAAGAATTGATTTCAGTAGTATGTTGAAGGAAACAAAATGAAAACATTTTAAGTCTTGTATTTATTTTACTTTCATATAATGGAAAAGTCTTCAAGGAAATACCGAAAGCCGCTTTGATAACTTGACTGAGGCACTGGGGACCCAGGCTCCTTCCAGCCCGCTTCAGCCTTTATCCTGATGTTTACAGGATGACTGCTGAAGCCTAAGACGTATTCATGGTCCAGGAAGCAAGAACAATGAGACATGGGCAAAAGTTTGCATAAGGGGACAGTCCCCTTTTTAAGGAACACTTCTAGAAGGACACCTCAGCAACTTTTACTTCTATTCCTTTAGCTACAATTTAGCCAACTAGCCGTCCCTATTTGCAATAAACACTAGAAAATATAGCTTCTTATTCAGGCAAGTCATTCTTCCAACAAACCTGGATTTCCGTTAGTAAAGGAGAAGAGAAACATGAGATTCTGGCACATTAGATATATATTTTATATCAATATGTATTTCTTATCTGAAAAAGTTTTGAATAATGAGTATTATTTTATGTAATAGAAACATGAGGAAAGTTTTAAATATTTTTGTTATGTGAAAAAATTTAGGTTCTGATCATGAGCAAGTAATTTACTAAATACTCGTTTCTGCAAATTAACTGATTTTCAATTATGAATAATGACTTAGTAGGCTATAATCATTCCTTCTTTGCAAATAGAAATGCATTTTTCTTCATACCTATTGAACTCATTTTTTCTGATTTATTGGGAAATGTATTTTGTGATAATTACAAATCATCTGTGATGATTCAATGAGTATCACATTGGTTTTAATAATTTTCTCATTTATCCTCAGTATCCTATGTTTCATTTTCAATAAGTAGGAATGCTGGAGACTAGAATATATTTCTTGTAATGCTCTTCAACAGTAATTACTTCTTAACATCATTAAAAATTAAAACATATATTTTAAAAAAATATATTGATAGATTGACTAAAATAAAACATTGCCAAGCAAAACATCTACTTCATCCTCATTCTATTTCTACTGTATCCAGTGTCCTCTCACTGTTAAGATTATTCAAAATTTTAAATTGGGTAGAAGTTTTATATTTTTTCAACAATAATTTGGTGAAAGTAGTGAAAAGTGTTTCTTGGAGAATGGTTATAGAAATAGATGCTGGGAAATTATTTACTGGAGCTCTTTTGAGGGTGACAAATAATTACACCTCTGCTTTGCCCATTCCAAGGCTAAAACCAGTTGAGAACTAAGAAACGCAACTTGAGAAATGAAGATTAAATATGCTATATTTCCTGATAAACCTGATTAATAACATACCTTAGGTTTAAGAGAAGGTGTGCTTCATCAGACCTCCATCACTGAATTGAATTTACTCATATAGTTGCAGGTAAAGAAGGACAACTGTAGACGCTATCCAAAGGATGGTAGAACACTTACCTCCTGGCAGAGGTGAATACGTGCATCCAGGATCAGCTTCTCCAAAGATCTCCGAAGAGAACTCAGGAGTTCCTAAGCTACTTATTCACATGTGTTTCCTTCTGTTCAGTTCTCACTGAACTAGAGAGATTTGGCATTGGGTGGAAACTAGAGCTGCTCTCAGATTTTTTTCTTCTAGAGAATTGAAGTCAACTCTCCTCTATAGAACACGGAGAGCAGAGGATATGTGTTTCTCCCTAGAAATTTTATGATATTAACAGTGCTGCTTTTAGTTAAGTTATTTAAGTGTTTGAGGACAAAGTTCTCTTAATATGGTACATATTGAACCTTAGTAATAATAACTTCCTCTAAGTGAAGGCTTATTTATTTACACACTTTGTTAAATATTATGCATTCATTAGGTCACTCCCTGGTTGTTGTTGTTGTTGTTGTTTTTCCCCTCAGATGATGAAACTGAGGCTCATTCATATCTGACAAGAAAATTGCTCAAGATTTCATGTAACTAAATTGTTAATCTAAGCTCCTGTTAGTCTAATTCCAAATTCCATTTTTTTTTCAACGTTTATTTATTTTTGGGACAGAGAGAGACAGAGCATGAACGGGGGAGGGGCAGAGAGAGAGGGAGACACAGAATCTGAAACAGGCTCCAGGCTCCGAGCCAGCAGCCCAGAGCCTGACGCGGGGCTCGAACTCACGGACCGCGAGATCGTGACCTGGCTGAAGTCGGACGCTTAACCGACTGCGCCACCCAGGCGCCCCCCAAATTCCATTTCTTTAAACACTATACAATCTACTCCACCCCACAGAGGACTAACATCACCAATAAAACTTGGAATTGCCATTTTGGAAACTGTTTCAAATAAATACAGGAACAAAAAGATGTGTTTGTTAATATTATTCAGAGTCTTCAAGAATTTCCAATTTTTAAATGGTCTTTAAAGCCCCCTGCATTTATTTTAAAAAGTAACATTAAAAACATAACTGATGGATGAAAAAATACATATATGTATCTATATCGTTTCCATTTTTCATGTAACTGCAAAATGAATGTAAACTTTGTATGTTACAATATGAATTTTAGGGACACCTGGATGTCTCAGTCAGTTAAGATCCGAATCTTGATTTCAGCTAGGTTATGATCTCACTGTTGGTGGGATGGAGTCCCAGCTGACAGAGAGGAGCCTGTTTGGGACTCTGTCTTCCCCTTTCTCTGCCCCTCCCTTGCTGGTATACACTCTCTCTCTCTCTCTCTCTCTCTCTCTCTCTCTCTCAAAATAAATAAATAAACTTAAAAAGAAAAACAACTTAAATTTTACTTTTAAAACATCTTAGGAATTTTGAGACATGATATTTCTCTATAGAGCAGACTCAGAGTTAAACCTTGTATTTCCAGTCTACAGGCTGGTATTATAGAAGAAAAATGTCTGGAGAGAAGAGACTCTGCTAATGGAGATGACTAGGAGATGACTTAGGAGATGACTAAGTCATTTTAGGAGATGACTAAGTCTTCATTTCTAACACTATCACTATAATTTTGTTCAGAATTCAAAGAATAGAGAAACAATACACAGTATTCCTATTGCCCAAGAAATGTATCAGCATCCTGTGGAGAGTTGTGCAAGATTTATTTTAGAGAGTAGTACCACAAATGCCTAGTTATAAGATCAAGGTGCAGTAGACAAAATCAGAGTTGAATTTCATGTTCTTCACTTATTTGTGACCATGCTACAGGTGAAATGTGCAGATGTGATGAATAAAATTTAGGTGATTCACAGCACTTGAGTGAAGCTTAAAATGTATGATTCAGAAGTAGATGTTTAAAAATTGCACACAATTTTTGAGGAAAAATCTGAGATTATATAAATAGTATTTTGACCAATCTAGAACCACTAGATTCATATTTTCATTGATTTTGTTTCTAGTGCCAATAATAAAAACATGATATTTAGAAGACTGCAGATTAGGATGCATTTTTAATTATCCAACAGGCCTACTAAAATGTGAACAGATGGTAAACGCAAATCTTACTTAATTGGAAAACTGGCGTTATGAGAAATAACTAAGTAGGAAAATATTTGCGTTAAATATACTTAGCAATTGAATTACATCATATTTGTACATATCTGTTTATGAAGGCATCTTTAATATTAAACAGATTCTGATTTTACACTAACCTGTTTTAAAGAGTTAATATTTATTTATGGAGAGAGGGATTGGTAACTAGCAAATTGGAATGGGCACAGTGATATTTAAGAGGATCACTTGATAATCCCCCACAGATTGGAGCTACCATTCCCAATTCTTTTATTTCCTGTTGCCTAGAAGCAATAGCAAAGTATTTCTTCTCAGTATCATTTGTGGGGCAGAAGATGATCAAGTTTTATGGATACACATTCTACAGTCTCATTTCCATCAGCTCTGGAATTGTTTCACTGATAAGCACTAACAGGAGGGAGATAGAAGTAAAATTTATAACCCTCTTCTAAATCTTCGTGATTCCTGTGAACGGCAGCAGATCACTCTTGCCTTGGCTGACACAAACTACCACCATGATCAAAAGGCTATAATAATGCTGTTTTATTAAGAAAGATAGCAGTCAAAAAGGTGAGATTCCCAGAGGCAAAGAAATAAATAAAAACAGCAGTAACAGAATGAAAGAAGATGGTATAAAGTACTATTTAGGGCAATAACCGAGTAGAATGACAGACAATATGCAAATCTCGTGCTGGGAATCTGAATTGGATTTTTGTAAACATCAGTTTCTGACTGTAATATCCCAGTAACTAGTAAATGGTGACCTTGGTATTAACTAAACTGAGTCCTGGGGAACACAGAACAGAAAGCTTGCGTCACAACTCCACCTTAACAAAGATAGGGATGTAGTAGGAAGAGTGGCTACGCTGAAAAGTGCCATTGAGTATGGCTTCACTGGGGTGCCCTGTGTGGGTTCAGCTATCATGTGTTAATACTACATTGTTCCCAAACAAATTATACATTGTCAAAAGCCTATTAGGAGAGTAGCAGTCCACGCATATATTTTTGGATCGTGGGGGAGTAATAGCATCACGTAATCATATGGAGCTTTCATTAGTTAGTTCATTGTTCAAAGTATGCGATAGTATCAACTAGTAGATCCCCAGAACTCAACTCGGCTTTTTTGAGATGAAAATGCACAATATGATGATGTTTCCTTTAAAGGTCATTCACCATTATAAGGCAAAAATTCGAAAGGCCATATTGATTATGAGGGGGAGTTCCATCATACCTTTAGTCACCTATATTACATTCTGAGGCATTTAGCACAATCAAAATCCATCATTAAGTACTGCTTCAGCCCCGGGCAGTACCTAATTTCGTTTCACATTGACTTAATTTTTACTAATTTTTAGTATCCTTGGAAATTGTAGCAGATTTATTTTACAGATAAGAAGACTGAGAACCATTTCATTGGAATAATTGTTCAGCATCACATTAGTTGATTATGGGATGATAACTAGAAAATAGTTCACCTTGTCAGCCACTCATATCTTAATTACTTGTGTGTTATTGAGCTCCAACTCTTGTTAAAATGTAAGCTCCACAAGGCCGGGGGCAGGTATGTGTTTCTGTGCTGTACTCTGTATACTTAGCACCTGAAGTACAGATGCTTAATATTGTTTCAAAGATTGCACGGAGGTTGATATTCATAAGAATTTTTTATCAAAATTGAGATTTGTTATTTAAAAAAAGATCATTGAGATTAATTTTGCTTTGTTTTTATATGGTGTCAGTTCCTACATACCTGTTTTAAAAGAACTTTAAAAGTGTAAGTATTATTGAATTAAGCTGTAGTCTTGCAGATATTCTTAAGAATAAAGCATTTGAGGGGCGCCTGGGTGGCGCAGTCGGTTAAGCGTCGGACTTCAGCCAGGTCACGATCTCGCGGTCCGGGAGTTCGAGCCCCGCGTCAGGCCCTGGGCTGATGGCTCAGAGCCTGGAGCCTGTTTCCGATTCTGTGTCTCCCTCTCTCTCTGCCCCTCCCCCGTTCATACTCTGTCTCTCTCTGTCCTAAAAATAAATAAACGTTGGAAAAAAAAATTAAAAAAAAAAAAAGAATAAAGCATTTGAATATTGACATTCCGCAGAGCTGAAAGGTGGAGATTCTTGTGGAGCAAATGTGAACAAGGACTAGAAATGTTAACATGAGCAGGGGACACAACTAAGAGAGACCGCATGTTGCAATTATAGACCTCCATCATGCATTTGTAGCCATGAGAACATTTATCATCAATACGTTATCAGTGTGTCTTTTTAAAAAACAATGTAATTGCTAATACAGTGGGCAAATTCAGTTATTTTACTTCATAGACTGTCAATGGGCAATTATAAGGCAGTCCTAGGAATAAAGCATTATCTTCCACCAAACCAATTACTTAAGTTTAATCTTAGGCTTTTTTCCTCATTTACTTAACTGCCTTGCTATTTATTCTCTCCCTTAAACATAACACCTGATCATTTGTCTCAGTTATGTTAAAAAAATGAATTATGTGGGAAGAAATTCAACTAGTTGTTTGGCAAGACAGAGACAAAATAAAACCATCAATTAAATGACAAATATGTAACTTTTCTAATGTTGGTAGTGGGAGATGGATAGGTTATTTTGAGCTAATGTCTAACATTTTTTTGGTTATCTAAACAATTCTGATGGGTCTGTTTTTACATATGTAATTTGAAAACCTCAAATAATAGAAATTTAATGAAATACACCATCTAAACTTGGAAATTTTCAAATTTCAATTAATATTTTAAACATACCTCATGGAGGAAATGCAAGGTCATTAAGAATATTCTCTTAGGAAAAAATAATATTCTATTAGATATATAAAAGCAAAGCGCAATATATGTTACAAAATCATCTCTGATAACTTTATTTTAAAGTCCTTTGAATTTTTTTTTGAAATTGTATAATACATTCCTTACTCTAGCAGTATATATGCAAGCCTTTATATTTTTTTCTTGGAGGCAAATATTAAGGAATTCAAATCATCAGCCTGTTTACCATGTTTTTCTGTGATTTATCAGGGAAGTCAACAAACCACTTCAGTTTTCTTCTGGCAGGAAAATAGGAAACGAGTGTCCAGGGAACATAAATCTACTGTGACTTTTCTATCCAATTTCAGTTGTTCTACCACCATTGATTCCGATGTGTCACACTGTGTGAGAACAATGGAAATTAACAGTATGTTGGGACTGCCAAATTCATTTCACACAACAGTAATCACAATAATAACCAAAATAATATATAATCACCCATGAGAATAAACACAATTCCATGAATCAGAGTCCTAAAGAAATC